TCGATCACAATAATGATACACAAACCATTTTCCTACACCATCTCAAATATACACTAGTAAGTCTTACAAAATTTATGAAATATTCTGTGTGGGAATAATTTCACACAAGGAGTATACACCTCATATAGACAGAGATGGTGGCACCTAAGTGAACCGATGCTCAAGTCAAAGAGAAGTATTAAGTGAATAAGCTAGAATTCAATTGCATTATCTTGTACCTGAGCCTTTATTTATAATGGCAGGGACATATGTCCTAAATGAACCTATACTCTTGATTGATTGGCTCAGTCTTGTCACCAGATCATAAAAGTACGGGGTAGAGTTTAATTAGGACTCTAGTTCCTAACTCCTTGTTACTAGCTCCAAAATATTCAGAATAATATTTGATTAGAATTTTAGGTCACAAAATGATCCTTATCCGTGTAAGAATCTTCTGGATAAGGCGTGTGATGAAGCTTATCACAACTTAAGTAGTGAAGAGGTGGTTGACTTGTGCAAGCTTTGGGTAACGAATAACACATGAAGGACTCTCCACATACAAATGCCGACTAGCAGAGACTGGCCCTGCCTCTTGCCGAGTGGCATGAGCAGGCTTTGCCGACTTGCATGAGCAAGCTTTGTCGAGTGGCATGAGCCACCTCCTCCTTGCTAATGTCGGGTGGCAGTAGGCTTGCCCAAAGGAATTAGATATTTAATGTCTCTTATCTTGAGTTTGAATCTTGACAATTCCTTTGGGTTAGGTCTTAGTTCTCATCATTACTCTAGTCTTTACAGTGGAGGAAGTGGAGGCAGCTGCCCGCACTGCAATTTTTAAAAAAATTTGGGGATGCTGATAGAATTTTGAAAATTTTAGAAGTCTTCAAAAATTACCCCCACTGAAAAGATTTTAAAAGAGTAGGGGTATTTTGTATAATATGTGGGCTCACCTCAGACAACACTTTTACTTTACTCTTCCATCTACCCCCTGAAAGCTCCACTTTTTTCATCAAAACGATTCATGGGCAGCGAAGGATACCTTCTTCTCTTTTCGTCCTGGTGATCCCTTCAAACAAATTTCATTCAAATTTATCTCGTCTTTTCCTTCATTTGGATCTTCCTCTTTTTGTTCTTGACTTTAGTCGGAATTTATCTAGTCGATTGAGTGAATATTTTTCAAGGAAATGAGAGTTTAAAAGATTCTATCAAAATTGGCCTACGAGAGATATCCATAAACTACATATTGATATCTTTGATTTTATACAAATTTTTGGTGCAATAATTTAGGTTTTTATTATTCTTACCCCTTTAATTTTTTTTTTTGGCTAATAATAAGTTTTGATTATTGAATTTGAACTAAGCAGTGACAATAAGATCGATTGTATATCCATATTTTTGGTAATGAGAGGGTGAGGAAAACATGAGTTACTTTATGCGAAAATGGGTCATTCATTTGTTGACACCTTCTGTACTATTTTAATATATTGAATAAAATGGACCTTGATTGCTTAAAATGTGTTTATTTAAGTGGATTTCTATTTTCAAAAGTTTTTTTATTACGGATTATACCTTGAATTAAATTATTTTGATTTATGGGGCTTGAATAATTGGATTGTGTTTGATTAAATTGTTTATATGTGTAAGTTTGGTTTAATAGACTTGGGATATAAATATTTTTTCTAAATTGTTTCTATTAAAAATTTGGATCTATTTATGTTTAATTTAATAATTTTTTTATAAATAATATTTTTGTGTCTAATGAACAAATTAATTTTTTAATTACAATGGACAAATTTCTTAAAAGAAAATAAACATTAAAAAAAATGGTGATAGTGATGGGGATATATTCTAAGTAAAGTTGTGGTGAAAATTAAATTAGGAGATCTTCTAGATCCTATAGACTTACGGATAGTTTTGTAGTGAATTTTTTTTATTTGCTCTTTTGTACATCCCTGATCTATACGGACTACACCCATAATTGACAAATTTTTTAGTAAAATTGTACTTAAAAGTATCATTGATTAGTTGTTTTGTGAAAGCAACATAGATATTAAAGAATTTAAAGGTATTTATAAATTGTATGTTGCCCCCATCCTCAGAGAAGTCTGGCTCCGCCCTTATACGATGTAGATGACTTGTTTTTGATCGAATCGATAAAAAGATTAATCGAAATAAACTTAAGTTGAGGAGCAGAGCCACCCTTGGGCTAGGGTGGACACATGCCCCTCTCAAATTTTTTTTCCTTTATATTAGACATATTTTTTAAAATAAAACTTATATATATTTAATTGTACCCACCCTAATATTGTTTTCTGATGATATCGATTCAAATAGACTCTTATCTAAATGATTGTTAACTTTTCGAATAATATTATTGATATCTAATTTAAGAATCTAATGCATTGTGATATTAAATTTAATAGTGAGTTTCAATATTTAGTAATCTCTAATATTTATACAATGGTCACAAACGATAGGGTCTCTATCAATTCAATATTAAATTAGGTACAACTAATATTATTGTTAACTTTTAAATACATTTCAGACATGTTCGAATATGTTTGAATATATTAAGGTTATTTTATAATTTTTTTAAATTACATGGTTATTTTTTTATTGTATAAAAATGTGTGTCGTTATGTAATAAATTATAGGATCATAAATGAAAGATTATTATAACAATTATATATATATAAAAAATATTATTGATAAGATTGATTTATATCTCTTTCAAATAATAAAAATATATCATGATCAATTGTAAGTAACAATAATTAGTCTCATTCTTGATAAAGAAAATTAATTATTATTTTTTTGTTTATATTATGCATATCGATTTTTAATCTTTTATGTTTACTAAACTTTTAAGAATTAAATGTAATTGAGTAAATTACATTGACACCCCCTGTATATTGGTCTAATTATAAAAACCCCCTTTAATTTTCTAAAATTATATTGATACCCCTTACTATTTACCTACCCATTTTACAAAATACTCTTATGGTTAGCATCGCTATTTACAATGTCAAAAAAGTGATTAAATCATCAAAATTTTACCCTTTAATACTCATATTATTAAACAAAATTAGAATAACTTATTTATTTTCATATTGTGATCTTGTTTATGTTTGTGTTTGTATTCATATACGTATTTTGGCCACTTTGGACACATCCTTATGAGAGTAAACCCTGGATACTTGCAATCACTCGCAAACTACATGTATTATTTAAGCCCAAAAGACACCAGTGAGAGTCAAACCCCTAACATCTGGGTCTATAGTTCATCTGGGTTTAACTCCACACCGCTAGGCTACTTGTGCAAGTATGTTTGTATTCGTATTGACCCATATGAACTTTGAATGAACAAATTATCGCTAACATTTAAATCTAAGATTCTATTATCACTTAATTGAATTTATGTTCATACTTTGTTTATAAACTAAAAATTAATTTAATAAACATAACAATAATATGAGTAAAAATATCTTTTTTATATAATAATTATGTTAGTGTTTAATAAACAACAATAAATAATTAATATTTTATTTTTATAATACCAATTAAATATTTTGATGGTGTTCGTGTTAATATACAAACGAGAAGATCGAGGGAGTTTAACAGGATTAAATAAAATGGGTTGATCGTGTTAATTTCGGGTTTGACAAGTTGAACCCCAAAATGACCCATTTATTAATATTTATAATATAAAATATGACAGATTTCAATAAGTTTATCCGATAATCTCAAATAGACTCATCTAATGACCACCAATAATCGCTTTTAAAATCATTCATATTGTACTGTGTCTTCAGATACAAATTACCTCTAGTTTAAATATATGAGAGAGTGATAAGTAAAAAATGGTGCATAGTAAGGATAATTATAAAAATTGCATTTTTTATTATATTAGTTAAGGGATAAGACCTGATAATTTAAAAAAATTGAGGGGTGTCTTTATAATTAGATCAATCTACCCGGGGGTAGTGTAATTTACCCAATATAACTTCAATAAATATGAATTTATGAATTTCTACTGTTAATTAAATTTTAATTTTTTAAAACGTGCTAATGTGCTCACTTTAAAATTTTTTGCTAGCTTCGCTCATTTGTAAGCTACCTTGGACAACTCTAACTGTTGAAAAAAAAAAAGTAGTGCTATGTTACGTGGGGATTTTTTTTTTTTGGGGGGGGGGGATTTTGGAGTAAATATTAAATACAACGATGACACTACGCCATCATTGTTACGTGATGTCATTATCCATTTAGAAGATTACAAATAGATAAAATAAACTCCATTATTTTTATAACTATCAGTAACCATCACATTTAATTAGCAACATATAAAATTAGTGGGATCCACTTTATCTATTTATTATCTTCTAATTGAATGATAACATTATGTAACTTTAATGACATAATATCACCGTTACAATAAATATTTTTTCCGCGAATTGGTACTTGGTTGGTTCATAAGGCTTATAAGCAAAAGACAGAGCAGAGAAGGTACATTAGAATACTGGCCGTGATTGTCCAAATTTTAGACATCAAATTAATGAAGGCTCTTAAATTGGTTGGTTCTATTCATTTTTTGTCTATCAAAGATTTCTATTCATTTGGGATCCCACTTTTCAAATCTCATTTGAGATCAAAAGTATTACTTTTTGAGTACATTAGAATCCTGAAATTATATCTTATCTCACATTACTATTTACCTTTGCATTTGCCAGTTTTGGTGTTGTACATTCAAATATGATCATTAATCAGTATATCTCAATTGCAAGCCCCTCTCACAAATTAAACGAAGAATTATGTCATTTTACCCTTAAATTATGCAATTTGTCATTTTGTGTAATTGTACTGATTGAGGGTAATATGAGAAACTTAATAATAAAAGGGATAGAATAAGATTAGTTCTATAGTTGTTGGGTATAAAGTATAAATAATTCCTTCACATTCTCAAAGCCCTGCAGGCTTTGGCTCCTGAAGCTACTACTACAACAAATGCCTACCAATCCTTTTCTATGGCTGAGATTAATTATGCTCTTCATAGATGATACTAAGCACAGCCAAAACAAAGTGTTTCTTTTGCATTTTGTAAACAAAACCAGAGCAAGTCCTAATAATGGCCACCTCACATCTCTCCGACCACATTTACCGGCCAATACCCACCCGGAGTGCCACCTTCCGGCAGTTCACCACCACCAAAGCGACCATACTTTTTCTCTCTCCCCCAAAATGTTCCAAATCTCGAAGCTTTTTAGTTAAAAATGACCAAAAATCCAAGTGGGTCGTTAGACTAAGCTTGGTGGAGAAAAGCCCACCAAAACCAACGGTGGATATGAAACGGTTGGTGGACTTCTTGTATGAGGACCTTCCACATCTTTTCGATGATCAAGGGATTGATCGGACGGCTTACGATGAAAGGGTGAAGTTTCGGGACCCAATCACGAAACATGATACCATTGGTGGGTATCTGTTTAACATTGCTCTGTTGAAGAAGCTCTTCAGCCCTGATTTTGAGCTGCATTGGGTCAAACAGGTATGCTTTTCTACTGTTATATATACACATGTATCTATGTGTGTGTCTTAAGGATGGCGAGGAAATTACAATGTGGGGATGAGATAAAGGGTCTATGTGACAATTAATTAAGCTTACCTAGAGAGTAAGAACAAATTATATACTATGGTATTTCATGCTTGATTGTAATGTGTTGAAGTATAAATATTAAGTTAAATCCTCTTAAACGACTTAAATTTTAGAGTAGATGGTGGTTTAACATGAGATAAATTCAGAGGTGTGGAATATGTATGTTGAATTGTCCCTTCAGCAGTTGCCAATCCATATATCTGGATTTTTGGGAATTCTATGCTGAGAGCAACATTGTTGTGAAGAATTTTTTTTTGTTATGTGAATTTTTACCCTCTGAATACTACTTATTAGATTAAGTCTAGACAACTGCACCTGGACTAACACACATGTTAGGCTGGTTCAAGGTCTCTTAACAGTTGACTCTGAGGGTAGTGTGAAGCATTGGTTTTGGTGAAGTGGAACAGTATTAAATGACATACACGAAATGATAAATTGTGAGAGATTCAGGCCATGTTTTGGTATAATTGAATGTTAGCGAATGATATGCTGCAATTCGATAAAACGTGATTGACTCGGCTGATTCAATGCTGAGGGCACTGAGTCAACCAGGTTGAGTGACACGCATCATTTTCAGAACAGATGGTGCCTAGTCGGATATGGGTTGACCTAATCGGCTGATTCTTTGAACACTGCCGCAAGAAGTGAAAAAATTACTTAACCTTTTAGAAAGGTATGCCCTAGGACTAAATCAAAATGGCAATTCAATTCTATGAGAACCATATGAGAAAGGCAATCCAACATATCCCTAAATTCACTTTTTCATCAGACCCTTTCAGATTCTTATAGCCTGGAGGTTGTTATGGATATAATTCAATTGATTCTCTCGAATATATTGTGCAATTGCCTAAATGGAATATGAGCATGATATGTTACTTTCCATGTATTTTGCCAATCTTTTGTTGTTGGATTCTCCAGACTTTATCATACTTTTCGTCGGGGGCATATAATTTTCCTTCCCATATGCTCTGCTCTGTGATGATATAATGGCCTTTGCGATTAATTCTAGAGCTTCAGCAGCATAGCTTTGAGGTCATAGTTGGATCCCGTATAGTTTTAGTACTTTTGTGGCTCACAAGTATATGTGTCTAGTTTCTTTCACTGATTGAGTTGTTATAGACAGGGCCTTATGAAATAACTACAAGGTGGACTATGGTAATGAGGTTCATTCTTTTACCATGGAAACCAGAATTGGCCTTTACGGGGACGTCTGTCATGGGCATCAACCCAGTGACGGGGAAGTTTTGCAGCCATGTGGTAGGGACTTTCACCTCTCCCCTAGTATTAGAAACATGCTACATTAGCAAGATTAGCAATTTGTTCCTTCTGTTTCTCTTTTCTCTTTTGTTTTATTATTGTAGGACTACTGGGATTCTATACAGAACAATGATTATTTTTCTGTAGAAGGCTTACTGGATGTAATAAAGCAGGTAATTATCATTAAATAGTCCACATTTTGTATCACAATTCAGTATCGGTTCTTATGTGCATATCGCTAATTGCTGCAGTTGCGGATCTACAAGACGCCTGACATAGAAACCCCCAAATATCAAATACTTAAAAAGACTGGGAAGTATGAGGTTAGTCTTTTCATGGAATGATGGTTGCAGCATTCATCAATTACCTATTTCTGTTGTAGCAAACTGAATTGATGCAATGCTAAATATGGAACATGCATATCAGCTTCCTTTAAAAGTATTCCCATAACTTCCTTGTCTACGTGACAGCAAAGAAGCACGGACACGGACACGGACACGGACACGGACACTGACACTGACACTGACACGGACACGGGACGCAGGACAGGGATACAGGACACAAACACATGACACAGATACAACACGACATGGCACGACAAGGACACGTAAACGCGACATTTCTCAAAAAAGTAGGACATGATATGTTGGGAACACGCAATACATAAATGTGTTTTATATATAAAATTATATAATTTATTGCAAATATAATGATAATGATATATTATTCATGAAAAATTGTAAATGTTATATATAGTAATCTAGTGTTAATTTTTAGACTGAAGCATCATTATAGTCAATAATTATTAATTTTTTTGTAGATAACGTGTATCCAACTTATATAATTCAAATGATTGTTCTTATTTTCTCAATTCCTCGTTTTTAGAACTTTTATGCATATTTTACTTTTATTGTTATATTTTTTATTACAACTTTAATATGTCTAGAGTTGGTAATTACATGTTCTCTCATAATATAAGATGTTTATTAGTCAAATTTGTTAGTTTTGTTAATCTCTTGTCAATTCAGTTTATTGTTTATGGTCTAAAACAAGTGGCGGACACGCCACCAAAGACGTGTCGGACACATGTCTGAAATTTGAATTTTATAATTTAAGTATGGATACATATAAAAAAAGTATTGGACGCGTGTCCGAAAGTGTCCAAAGAGTATCGGTGTCCAACACGGATACATCACCTTCTTGAGAGTGTTCATGGCTTCGTGCTTCATAGCTTGATAGTAACATATAGAAAAACAAGCTATTTATGGATAGGACAAATGATCTTTCACTATTTAATATGGTCAATTTATCAGCAGCAGTTTTATCCCTTGCCGCCTTCATGCCCATCACGCTTGCACCTTTGCTATGCCCTTGAATTTTATGAGTACAGGAAAACATGTCTTTTTCTCCATTGTTTGGGCTCTTTGGATGGAAAGGATCTCGAGAATCTTTGAAGATAGATGTGAGCTAGTTGAAGGATTATGGGGAATGGCTTTGCTTTTTTAGCTTCTTTCTGGGCATCTAGGNACACGGACACGGACACGGACACGGACACTGACACTGACACTGACACGGACACGGGACGCAGGACAGGGATACAGGACACAAACACATGACACAGATACAACACGACATGGCACGACAAGGACACGTAAACGCGACATTTCTCAAAAAAGTAGGACATGATATGTTGGGAACACGCAATACATAAATGTGTTTTATATATAAAATTATATAATTTATTGCAAATATAATGATAATGATATATTATTCATGAAAAATTGTAAATGTTATATATAGTAATCTAGTGTTAATTTTTAGACTGAAGCATCATTATAGTCAATAATTATTAATTTTTTTGTAGATAACGTGTATCCAACTTATATAATTCAAATGATTGTTCTTATTTTCTCAATTCCTCGTTTTTAGAACTTTTATGCATATTTTACTTTTATTGTTATATTTTTTATTACAACTTTAATATGTCTAGAGTTGGTAATTACATGTTCTCTCATAATATAAGATGTTTATTAGTCAAATTTGTTAGTTTTGTTAATCTCTTGTCAATTCAGTTTATTGTTTATGGTCTAAAACAAGTGGCGGACACGCCACCAAAGACGTGTCGGACACATGTCTGAAATTTGAATTTTATAATTTAAGTATGGATACATATAAAAAAAGTATTGGACGCGTGTCCGAAAGTGTCCAAAGAGTATCGGTGTCCAACACGGATACATCACCTTCTTGAGAGTGTTCATGGCTTCGTGCTTCATAGCTTGATAGTAACATATAGAAAAACAAGCTATTTATGGATAGGACAAATGATCTTTCACTATTTAATATGGTCAATTTATCAGCAGCAGTTTTATCCCTTGCCGCCTTCATGCCCATCACGCTTGCACCTTTGCTATGCCCTTGAATTTTATGAGTACAGGAAAACATGTCTTTTTCTCCATTGTTTGGGCTCTTTGGATGGAAAGGATCTCGAGAATCTTTGAAGATAGATGTGAGCTAGTTGAAGGATTATGGGGAATGGCTTTGCTTTTTTAGCTTCTTTCTGGGCATCTAGGCCTAAGGACTTCAAGAATGCTCCTCTTTTTTTATTTTTTTATTATTATTATTATTATGGCGAGTTGTATACATGTGCAGAATGTAGTGGGGTTACAAGATCCAAGTAGTGCTGCATACTGTCTTAAAGTCACTTGTTATTGGATTGGATGAGTCGTCCACCTTTTCTCTGATTATGTTAATAAAATCTTGTTCCTTATTGAAAATATGTCATTCTGACATTGGAACTCCTATCAGATTCATGACTAGAAGTAGAATGTATGTCAAAGCATTGTGTAGGCTAGGCTTGACTACACTTAAAAATGAATTCTACAGGTCAGAAAGTACAACCCATTCATAGTTGTAGAAACAGATGGTGACAAGTTGGCTGGGTCTACCGGCTTTAATGGCGTTACTGGGTGAGTTTTATGGATCCAGATCATTTATGTATTGCCTTTTTTGCTTCTGTCATTGTGTTTTCCTTAGATAATTTGAGATTCAATCCCCCTGTATAGGTATATATTTGGGAAGAATTCAACAGCGGAAAAGATACCAATGACGGCTCCTGTTTTCACTCAGGCATTTGATGCTGATATGTCCAAAGTGTCCATCCAAATAGTTCTTCCATCAGAGAAAGATATGAGCAGGTGAAGTTCGTTGTTTGTCTGAGGTCCTGAAATATTAAAACTGGAGCAACTGAAAATGACCATTTCAACTGCTTTTCAAAAAATGTCACTTTTTTTCAGCATTCTAGTCACATACAAGGAATCAAACAGTAAAATTGTATTTTGCCAGTTTGCCATATCCCAGTCAAGAAGCAGTTAGATTGAGGAAAGTTGAAGGAGGCATTGCAGCAGTATCAAAGTTCAGCGGAAAACTTTCTGAGGATATTGTTCTTGAGAAAGAAAAAGCACTTCGGTCTGGCCTTATTAGAGACGGTCTTAAACCAAAATTGGGTTGTTTGCTTGCTCGTTACAATGATCCTGGCCGCACAAGGAGTTCCATAATGGTATGACTTAGACATTTCCTTATGCTTATGATTCTCGAGGATCTCAGAATTCTTTGAATGTTGATCTAATAAGTGTTTTCTTCTGTACGTTTCATTTCAAAACAAGTACAAACCTTCAAACAAACTGATTTATCATTCTTAGTTACGAAAAAATAGGACTTTGATAGAAGGAATTGGGATAGTTAATCCTGAAACCAAGTGCTTTTGTCATTCAAAAAGAAAAATATCTATACAAGAATATCTGCATGACCTACTGTAAGAATTGGGAATCTTATTCATCTTGTAAAAACGAATGATAACCAAGATTAAATTCCAGCTAATTCTTGTAATTGAACTTTAGTACAATGAGCGTAGATGTAGTTTTCCTCTCTTCCGGAGTTGATGGTGGCTAAACAGAGCAGTTACAGAATCAGTTTAATGCCATGTTTCACATGGGGATTATATGATATTCGTTTACCTCTAGGTGGTAACATCTCTTGTTCTCAATAGTGAGATGTTATCAGCAAGGCATGATGTCGTATACTTACAAATGCATTGAATTTTCTTTGCTTGTAGACCCTTATAATTGCTCTGCTACATTGCTGTAATTTTTTTTTTCTTGGAGTTTGAATATGCTTTAGTTGATTTGCTTCCTTTGCCATTATTTTCATTACGAGACTTTATAGTTAATTTCTCTTTCATGCATCATAGTGGAATCGAAGTATTTTAGTTACCAAAATCCTTGTAGTTGCCAATATATTTTCACGTCTGGCTTGCAATTGAATATGATTGACGTTCCTGCTTTTGTTCTTTTTACAGTGTTTATAGCAGTTAACCCATCGCATTATAGTTGCATCATCCAGTTCAATTTAACTACTGTAATACAAATCTGTAAATTTAAACAATTGTTTATTACTTTTTCACCTTAACCAGTGTTCATCTTTGGCACAATTTTTTCAGTCTTGCCTAATTTTTCCCCACCTTACTTGCTGAAATCTATTTGTTTTGTGTTTTTGGTTGCATTGAAGAGGCATGAAGTGCTTATATGGCTTGAAGAGTTCTCGTTGGATTGATGTGTAATACAGCCATTTTTCGACTATCAAGTGGTCTGATTAATCTCGACTCCCCTGCTCGAAATTAATGAGATTTTATTCCCAGCATAGGAATACTGTAAAGAAAACTTCCAAAGAATGTCATTTAATCTGTAAATGGTGTTGATCAATCACACTGGGTAACTGTAACTAAACATACTGTACATGTTTTCAGAAACTTCTTATGACAAAACACTTTTTCCTCTCTTAGGGCTGTCTATGCGCCATGTACCTTCTCTGCACAGGTTTATTGTGAAGAGACAAAAAATTGAGTGTGTATTTTTTTGCGTGATTATGTTCCACCCATTAAAAGTTTTGCTTTGACATGGCAATGAACAAATACTGTATCTCATTCCCATCGACATGAGTGACCCATTTAACAATTTCAACTCCATTGGTTAGTGGCTCTGTTACATGTACTCTCTTATTTGCCCCTTTGCATTGTTGCACTTAATCCATGTAGATCTGCCATGTCTGTTAGTGTATTATATCTCATTTTTCATAATACTTGCCTAGCCTCGTGGGGGTATGATGGCGTCCTGGTTCAACCTTTTGCATCTGAATTTCTGAACTCATCTGAGTTCTGGTCATTTCTATTGTCAAAGTACTATTTGCACGTGCAATGGAAATGAACACTGCATGGGGTGGGGTGGGTTGTGTGTGTTTGTTGAGGGGGTTTGGGGGTGGGGGGTGTTGCTTTTTTTTTTTAGCCTTGACAATTTATATTTCCCCAGTTGAAGCTAATACCTGGTTGAGACTCAATAGATGGTTTTTTTTTCCCTACTTGATCGACTTTTGTTAAAGGGAAGGGTTTTGTTTTAGTTTGGGCTCCTATATCTTGGGTTATTCTCTAACAATCCAAGCTAAAAGCTGGATGTAAACCTTTAGCAAACGGTTGTTGATTCTGCCTATTTTGGTAGAGGTCTCACTCAGCATGTTCTGTTATAGATGTCTTTGCATGCTTTCAGTTGTAAAATTATATCGAAATTGGTCATTAACCTCATGCACATCATAGTGAACCATGCGCTGAGAGATGGTTATCTTTGAAAGATGGTAGAATGATGGCACTGTGAACCCATGAACCCAGGTCGCCATGAACCAGGGACTCTTTAACCTGTCTATATATATCTCTCTCCTTCTCTCCGTTTGTTGCAGCCCTCCAATCCCTTCACCACCCTCTGCCGAATTTCAAGGACCTGTGAACGCGTTCATCATCAGAGCTCTCCTCAACTAATTAGACAAGTTCCTTGTGCATGTATTCTATTTAATTTTTTGCTCTTCCATGATTATTGTGCGGGTCATTTCTTGTACAATGATGAGGTAGCAGCACTTTGGATAGCACTTGAGAGTCGCTCTCCAGTTTGGGGATGACGAAAACCTGACAATCATAAAGAAAGGTTAGAAGGGAAGCCGGAGGTGTTTTCGACCATTCCCCTCTGATGGTAAAGTCAGATTCTGAGGAGATAAGGAGACACAATGCTAAGTGGTGGGTTCTGAGAGCATACCTCTCTCCTGTCTAAGACTATTATTTATACTTTTTTGATAGCTGAGTGTGTTATCAAGAACATTCGTACGACTTCCTTTGGAGGGAGGGGCCCTTTGACCTCGATACTCGATTCTTTGTATGGACGTCTATTTGATGCATGTTGTTGACATTAATCCCTCACCCTCTAGATCCTCGCCAATCATTAACACTCGACCAAGCATTCATTGTGAGACTAGACGTTTGATAACGTGTTTTGCAAGGATAATTGCTCAACCCCACGTCTTGCGTCGAGAGATTAATATTCTTTCTCCCCGCTCTTCGAACATTTAATATTCCTTAGTCACTTTTCACATTCCTATGAGGAGCATTTATTGCATTCTCGAGGGTCCCGGTTGTAGTGTACTATTTTGTTGAATCTGAGAAGGGCTCATGCCTACTGACAATCAAGCATAATTTCTCATAAGATATTCCTTCACTTATCTCTAGGTGGGCGTTCCCATCAATGCAGAGCCAACTGTCTTCTATTATACCGATTGACGTGGTCGGCGTGTAAGGTTAATCACCTCTTAGGACCCTCGGCTAGGTATACGTTGGTGTTCTGATCTTCTCGGCGTCAACATTCTTTGGTCTGAACCATGCAGATCCTTCGTCGGCATGTACGACAATACCGAGGAGATCCTAACACTTTTTAATTAACAAGACGATCTCGAGAGAATTCCTTCACCCAAAGACATCCTCTGAGGCCGAGCATTATCACTTTTGCACTTGTTGGCAGAATATATTACGTGTTTATTTCTGATTGGTCTGACAAATCACGTCTTGTCAATTATCACGATTAAGTTTTTATTGTCCTATGAAAATGAGGGTGTTTGCTTCCAATTTGGGCATCTAGGTTGTGTTGTATCTTGTATATGTAAGCAAACTTTAAGGGTTTTGCTTGAAATGGTTAATGTAGTCCTTGTATTTGACGGGTTTGTTTGAAGATTCTTACTGTTCACATTTGTACATTTTTATTGTTGTTGTTGCTGCGATTGGTATCACGGTTTCGTGCTTAGTCTCGGCAATTGGGGGGTGTTCAAATTTTTGATCTGCCGCAAATTTCTACCCTAATCGACCCTATTCTACCTTACTGAATGGCTATCCGCACAAATTGGATAAGAATGCGGAAGAATTTTTGATCTTCTGACAATTTTTGGGTAGGAATGCGAAATAGTCATCCATTTCCGCATTCCTACCCTATCCTACCCACAATAATTTTTTAATATATATATAAACTTAAAAAAACCCTAAATCCAACGGAGTAATTATGATTTTAATGTATTTCAAATGGTTTAAACTTTAAATTTAAATTAATTGTTATTGTATTTGTGTAACAATTATAGTGGATTGATGTTCATACTTTTTTGTATTTTATTATAATTCTTGTTGTAGTTGTTTTAGATTTTAGTGTTAATTGATTTATTGTGATGTTAAATTGATGTATATTATTTAATTAAATTGTTAAAATAATCCAAAAATTAATTGTTACAAAAATGTTTACCTGATTTCCTATCCGACTTCCTACTTGATTAATCAAGTAGGAAGTCGGGTAAGATTATCACACTTGTCGGATAGAGTAAATCATAAAAAAATTCTTCCACAAAATATCGAATAAAAAGACAAAAGAACATATTTCTTACCCGCGGCTAACTGGCTGTGGCTTTGAAATAACTAAGGCCATCTGAAGCAAAGACCCACAGTTACTTCCATCACTGTCGCTGACATTGTCTTCGTTTTTTTGGGGGAAAGTAAAAAGTTTTAAGTTCCAAAAATTAAAAACGTACATTATGATTCTGTACTTGGTCTCAAACTACAGGAAACATATTTTTGATTAAAGATGCTCGGCATTACAAACATCGACTTTAAAAAATAGATTATTCTTGATTTTTTGAAATTGTAGTTGTCTTAACTCTGAAACCGTCACATGAATTTGAAATTATTAATAATTCGTAATTGTTATAAAAAAGGGTTACGGATTATTAATAATAGTATTGATAATTTTAATTTATTAATGAGTTTTAAATTGTCTCCATACTTGAAGAGCTATTTGAAGAACCTCCCTCCATTCCTATTAAATTCAAATTCTAAAAACTATTTAGAGATTAAGGGTATGTTTGGTTTGTGCTTCAAAAAATAGTATCCGAAAACAGTTTTTGAGAAGAGTTTTAAAAAAATGGTTTTGATATTTTTTGAGATAAAAAATTTGTTTGGTTAGATAATTTCAAAAACAATTTTATAATACAGAAAATAGTAAAACCTGTTTGGACAGCTTAAATATATATTTGAATATTAATTCAAACATTAATAAAAAAATATAAAAAAATTATTTTTATATTGACAATTTCATAATATATATATTTATACATATTTATATATATAAATATATATATAATATTCTTATATATATAAAAAAAACACACACACACACACACACACACACACACATATATATATATATACTCACATCTGAACATCCAAAATTATTCTCTTTATTTCCGAAATTTTCAAAGAAAACTCTGAAAACAAGTTATACTTGTTTTCTATTTCTTTGACTCAAATATCATTTTGTTTTCAAAATTTAGAGAACAAAAATGTTAAACAAATAAATTTTTGGTGTTTTTGAAATTTTGAGAACAAAAAACTGTTTTGCAAAAACTAACCAAACACGCCCTAAGATTTTTATTATTTCCAAAACTAATGTGATGATTCTAAACTACCTTCGTACCCCACCTCTCCTCCAAAAAAAGTACAAACATCATATAACACTATAAATCAAATTCTAATTAATTCGACTTATATGATCACAAATTTACTACAGCCTGAAAAAATAAAATCTACTGTCACATTATTCCCAATAAACAGAAAAATACACCTACTTTCATTTAATAAAATAACTACAACTGATATTGCTAGTTGCATTTGATTTTATGGTCTATTTCCTAATATGTAAACACAAGACAAAGGCCCACTTAACATGTATCTCCCTACAAATATGAAGAAGACTACGGTATTAAAAGAAATTAGTATTATATTGCCAAATTTTGTAACTGATTTGTTTTCAATTTTCAGTTTTTAGTTTTAGTTTTAACTTTTTTTTTCTACCACCTCTTCTTCTTACTCACCACCTACGACTGAAAGGTGGGAATAACTTAATCCTAATTTGGGCGAAAGTCGTGTTTGGTTTGAACTTGAGGGTTTTATAACCTGAATTGGGTTTGTGTGGGCACGTCAACGCAGCCAAAACAAAGTGTTGTGTTTCGTTTGCATTTTGGTGTTAGAGCAAGTCGTAAAAATGGCCACCTCACATCTCTCAGACCACATTTGCCGGCCAATACCCCACCGGAGTGCCTCCTTCCGACGACTCACCACTACCAACACCACCATAATTTTTCTCTCTCCCCCAAAATGTTCCAAATCTGGAAGCTTTTTAGTTAAAACTGACCAAAAATCCAAGTGGGTCGTTAGACTAAGCTTGGTGGAGCAAAACCCGCCAAAACCAACGGTGGATATGAAACGGTTGGTGGACTTCTTGTATGACGACTTTCCACATATTTTCAATGATCAAGGGACTGATCGGACGGCTTACGATGAGCGTGTGACGTTTCTGGACCCAATCACGAAATTTGATTCCATTAGTGGGTATCTGTTTAACATTGCTATGTTGAAGAAGCTCTTTAGCCCCGATTTACAGTTGCATTGGGTCAAACAGGTATGCTTTTCTACAGTTATATACACGTGTATGTGTGTGCTTTTGTGTGTTTTAAGGATGGCGAAGAAATTACAACGTGGGGATGAGATTAAGGATCTATGTGACAATTAATTAAGCTAACTGTACGGGTTGGTTCCTACAATGGATTGAGATACTGACCCACCGAACGTTTCTGGACGATGAACGATGAACCTGAAACAGAAGAAGAGTCAGAAAAGGGGCCGGGTGTGTACCTGGCTAATCCCTTCCGAATCTAGGTTTGTAAATCAGTAAATTTATAGCTAGGGCCAGAATTAATTTTTCTTGATACATAATGTATGAAAGGATCCTTGAGCGGTACAGAAATCAGACATGTTGTGATTCCGCCTTTCCAGTAGCGAGTGAAGATGAATCTGCACTGCCTGCCCTTACCTTCCTTCCCCCCGATCACCTTCCACAGAAAGCAGCTCGCACTCGGTAATATCTGGGACTTTGCACATGCTCTTCCCATGTCGGTTCCTAATGGAATACGTAACAAAGCCACTTCTTTATTGAAGAAAATGCCCAACTAAAGCATTTTCCCTTTAGCTTAGTTTTACGAGGGTATTTATACCTAAATCCGTAATCCGTAATCCGTAATGATGACTCTGAACCGGAGCCCCATCCTATAATTTAATGACCTTGATTCACAATCTAGTATAATGAGTGTTATTCCGTCGTGTCTCATTAATGCTAATTGCCCAGGCAACTGAATCTTTTCTCAGTATCCCGTCGAGCATTCATTTGAGTGCTCCACGTACTCAGAGCCCATACCCGAGCTTTCGTGAGAAGGAAATAAATATCCTCAAAATCCCCCAATGGCCTCCCTTCGGTACGGTGGCCATTAATGCGTCATAATAATAACTGTCTTCACATTCTTCGAGGATTATTCAGCCATTAATGGACTGTCATACCAACGCAACCTACATCAATAAGCTGTCACACTTCATTTAATGCTAGGTTCCGAGTGGTATAATCTCTCAATTTCTCCTCCTAGCTAATTGCGCACGTTCTTACAACTGTGGATATCCACGTGTTGCGGCCTAATGTCACGTCACTGAGTCACTTACCTAGAGAGTAAGAACAAATTCTATTTATCCTATGTAATATAGCATGATGGGATTTCATGGTTGATTGTAATATGTTGAAATATAAATATCAAGTTAAACCCTTTTCAACGGTTTAAATTTTTTTATTTTTGGAGTAGTTAGTGGGTTAACACGATATAAATTCAGAGGTATGTTGAATTGTCCCTTCAGCAGCTACAAATCCTTGTAATCTGGATTTTGCCTAAGAACAATGTTATGAAGAATTTGTTTTTATTATGTGAAGTTAATCCTCTGAATACTACTTAAGAGTTGAAAGTCTAGGCAACTGCGCTTGGACTGACACACATGTAGACATGGTTCAAGGTCTCTTATCAGTTGACTCTTACTCCGAGGGTACTGTGACACATTGGTATTGGTGAAGCGGAACAGTATTAGACAACTTACAAGAAATTGTAAATTGTGAGAGATTCCAGTCATGTTGTGGTGTCACGGAATGTTAGAGAATGATACACTGCAATTCTTAGTTGACAACTAGACCCCAAAATGAAATTTTGATCTTGCTCATGTGCTCTTTGTTGTGATGGTCCAATTAGTTCTTAAATGCTGTCTAAAGTTTCTGCGGCATAGCCTTGAAGTAACGGTTGTGTTTCTTCTTGTAGCCTTTGTACTTGGGTGATTCATAACTAGGTCTCTTTGGTCAATACAATCTGTATCTTGTTTCTTTGACTGATTAAGTTGGTATAGACAGGGCCTTATGAAATAACTGCAAGGTGGAGTATGCTAATGTGGTTCAATCTTTTACCATGGAAACCAGAATTGGTCTTTACGGGGACGTCTGTCATGAGCATCAACCCAATGACACAGAAGTTTTGCAGCATTGTGGTAGGGATTTTCACCTCTTCACCAGTATTAGAAGTATGTTACATTAGCAAGACTAGCAATTTATCCCTTCTGTTTCTCTTTTCTATTTTGTTTTATTATTGTAGGATCACTGGGATTCCATACAGAATAATGACTATTTTTCTCTAGAAGGCTTACTGGATGTAATAAAGCAGGTAATTGTCCTCAAATAGTCCTCATTTTGTATCACAATTTAGTATCATTTCTTATGTGCATATCATTAATTGCTGCAGTTGCGGATCTACGAGACGCCTGACTTAGAAACTCCCAAATATCAGCTACTTAAAAGGACAGGGAAGTATGAGGTTAACCTTTTCGTGGAACTGTGGTTGCAGCATCCATCAATTTGTTCATCGTTTACCTATTGCCGTTGTGTCAATCTGAATTGATGCAATGCTCAATATGGAACTTGCATATCAGCTTCCTTTAAAAGTGTTCCATAACTTCCTCATCTACCTGACAGTGGCATATAGAATAATGTGCTATTTATGGATAGTACAAATGATCTTTCACTACTTAATGTGGCCAATTTATCAGCAGTATTTTTATCCCTAGCCGTCTTCATGCCCATCACACGTGCATCTTTGTTATGCCCTTGAATTTTATGACTACAGGAAAACATGTCATTTTTCTCATTGTTTAGGCTTTTTGGATGGAAAGGAACTCGAGAATCTTTTAAGATAGATGTGAGGTAGTTGAAGGATTATGGGGAGCGGCTTTGCTTTTTAGCTTGTTTCTGGGCATCCGTGTCTAAGGACTTCAAGAATGCTCTTTTTTTTTTCACTATGGCGAGTTGGATAGCATTGTGCAGAATGTAGTGGGGTTACAAGATCCAAGTAGTGCTACGTACTGTCTTAAAGTTGCTTGTTGTTGGATTGGATGAGTCATCCACCTTTTCTCTGATGTTGATAAAATTTTGTTTCTTATTGAAAATATGTCATAACATTGGAACTCCTATCAGATTCATGACTAAATCTAGAAAGTATGTCAAGACGTTGTATACGCTAGGCTTGACCACACTACAAAATGGATTCAGGTGAGGAAGTACAAGCCATTCATAGTGGTAGAAGCAGATGGTGACAAACTGGCTGGGTCCACCGGCTTTAATGGCGTTACTGGGTGAGTTTTTATGGATTCAGATCATTTATGTATTTCCTTTCTTGCTTCTTTGCTTATCTTTTCCTTGGATAATTTGAGATTCAATCTCCCTGTATAGGTATATATTTGGGAAGAATTCAACAGCGGAAAAGATACCCATGACAACTCCTATTTTCACTGAGGCATTTGATGCTGATATGTCCAAAGTGTCCATCCAAATAGTTCTTCCATCGGAGAAAGATATGAGCAGGTGAATTTCCTTATTTGTATTACTATTTTTTTTTTTTTTTGGCATTCTAGTCACGTATAAGGAATGAAACAGTAAAATTCTATTTTGCCAGTTTACCATATCCCAGTCAAGAAGCAGTTAGGTTGAGGAGAGTCGAAGGAGGCATAGCAGCAGTATCAAAGTTCAGTGGAGAACTTTCTGAGGATATTGTTCTTGAGAAAGAAAAAGCACTTAGGTCGTGCGTTATCAGAGATGGTCTTAAACCCAAATTGGGTTGTTTGCTTGCACGTTACAATGATCCTGGCCGAACATGGAGTTCCATAATGGTATGACTTAGACATTTCCTTATGCTTATGATTCTCATTGATCTCAGAATTCTTCAAGTGTTGCTCTAATAAATATTTCTTCTGCTCTTGACATTTCAAAACAAGTATGGACCTTGAAACAAACTGATTTATCATTCTTAGTTACCAAAAAGCAGGACTTTGATAGAAAGAATTGGGACAGTTAATCCTGAAACCCTGAGTGTTATTGTCGGCCAATAAGATTTTTTTTTTTGTGGGGGGGGGAGGAAGAGGATAATGAGTTATTATTAAAAATATAAATGGAAGAATACTTGCATGACTAACTGTAAGAATTGGGAATCTTTATCTTCCAATCATCTTGTAAAAGTGAACGATAACCAAGATTCCATGATACCGAGGAAATCTCCGGATAGAATCCCAGCTATTTATTTTTCCCCCTTACTTTGCAAGATAAGCATAGATATAGTTTTCCTTTCTGCTGGCATTGGTGGTGGCTAAAAAGAGGGGTTACAGAATCCTTTTAATGCCTTGTTTCACATGGGGATTATATGATATTCGTTTCCCTCTAGGCAGAAACATCTCAGATTATCTATAGTTAGATGTTATCAGCAAGGGATGATGTGATGCTACACTGCTGCAATTTCTCTCTTTTTTTTTTTGGGAGTTTGAATATGCTTGAGTTGCTTTCTTTCCTTTATTTCGGCAATAAGCTTGCTAATGAACTTTACCATTAATTTCATTACAAGGCTTTTAAGTTAATTTTTCTTTCATGCATCGTAGTGGAATCTGAGTATTTGGTTATCAAAATCCTTGTAGCTGCCACTATATTTTCACGTCTGGCTTGCAACTGAATATGATTGACTGCGCTGCTTTTGTTCTTTTTACAGTGTTTATAGCAGTTAACCAATCGCATTATATTTGCATCATCCAATTCTATTTTAACTACTGTTCAACAAATCTGAAATTTTCCAGTCTTGCCTACCTTTTCCCCACCTTACTTGCTGAAGTCTATTATGTTTTGTGCTTTTGGTTGCATTGAAGAGGCATGAAGTGCTTATATGGCTTGAAGAGTTTGCGTGGGATTGATGTGTTAGCCATCCTTTGACTCTCAGGTGCTCTGATCAATCTTGACTTCCTTCTCGAAATTAATTAGACTTCATTCCCAGTATAGGAATACTGTAAAGAAAATTGATATCATTTAATCTGTAAATGATATTGATCAATGACACTGGGTAATTGACAACTGATATCATTTAATCTGTAAATGATGTTGATCAATGACACTGGGTAATTGTAACTGAACGTACTGTATCTGTTTTCAAAAGCTTCTTATGAAAAACACTTTTTTTCATGAAGAGACGATATTTATGTGTGTATAATATCGTTCTTGATGGTGCTTAAAATCAACTGAACTAATTACATAACAATCTAGGGTGTGGCCCAGAGGGAATGAGTATGTGCCTGTGCGATAGAAAGCGTGTTAAGTGTTGAAAATGAGACAAATACAGTAATATGAGTGGTTCACCTCAGTCGAAAGATTAAGGTTATATCTACTGTAGGGGAGATTCTTCCTCCTTGGGAATTGTATTGCTTGGGGAAGAAGATTGTTGATGCAAGAGATTTGATTGGAAGCCTTTTACAGAGTGTTTCCTAGGTTATTGATGGGTGATCTCTCTTTATATATCTCTCTTTACACACAGTGACACATTAGGGTTTTGTGGTGATTCTTTTCATGATTGATTCTATGGTTCCATCCTTGTTTATCTCGTTGTTGGACTTTCCATCCCTGATGGGTTTTTACATCAATTATACCTTGAACGGAATACGTGAGTCATTTTCATTATCGGTGGATATTCGTTTGTTAAGATTGTCAGGTACTGTCCCCTTGTCTTCTATCCGCATGTCACGGTAGGAGCATTGGTGAATTGTTTCATGTCGAGCTCCCAACTTCCAAGCGGGTATTTGTATTGAGTTTATTGATGTTGAGCTGACATCTATTTCGAGCTGAATTATTATGGACTTTTATGGAACTAGATTATGGTCCAGTTCGGGCCTAGTGAATGTTACATGGATGAGACGCTTGTGTCATCTCGCGTGAGTTCAAAGAAATTTTGGGCTTTGGAGAGGTTGAAATTTAAATTCATCATCTTCAATTTTGATATCATTTAATATGAGATTTGTGTAGTATATGGCTCTGTACCTGCTCTAAGATTACACGTAACATACTATTGATTAAAGGTGCTCGGCATTACAAAACACCTGCATTACCCAAAAAGGAATTCAGAATTGCGTTTTCATCATTAGGACAATAATAATGCAATAATCGAAGACGATGCTACATGGGACATTGCGAGAAGATAGTCTCTTTCTAATTGTCGCAGCATGGTACATGCGAGAAGGTAGAATTCAAGCAGGAGTTGTCTACTGTACCCAATTTTTTTTTTTTAATATTATATCGATATGTATTATATTTGTGAATATTTTTATAACTGTTATAATATCAAAAAAAAATGATAAAAATAATTATTAGAACATTGATAAAAATACACACAAATATGATAAATCTGTTGAATTTTTTTTTATATTGGACTGTCATTAATTGATAGTTAATTTTAGTTTGTGAAAAACGGGCTGAATTTATGGTCTAATGAGATGAACCCAATATTATTAAGTGATCTATTTTGATGGGCTTATGTACATCTTTTAATTGATGTGGTTGAGGCGGTTAAGTGTAGGTCTTAATCTAATTGTGGCCCATAATAGGAGAACTCATTAGATTTCATTATAAATAGCAGGTTAGGTTCTTTCTCCACTTCATAATCCTAATTTGACTTGTCTTATTGAGAGCTGTCTATTATCTTGAAAAATGAGAGAAAAACCTTGCCCTTTCAAAAGAGAAATTCGGAGATTGAGTATCATGACTCATACAAGTATGTTCTAAATATTGTAATTTAGATGTTCTAAATTTTATATACGAATAATTAAAATTTTTTACATGCGGTATCAGAGTCTATTGTATATAATTTTAGAACTCGATAAAAATTATATTACAATTTTATACTTTTTTTTTTTAATTGTTACTTTTAATTTTGTGTTTCGTCAATAGTCGTGAGTCATACAAGCGTTGATATAGTAAAAATAAAAATAATAATAATATCATGCATTCACTGAATTTTTTTTTGAATATAATATGCCTGTTTCTTGAAAATTAATAGTTATAGACAATTAAAAAAAAAAAAGGTGTGAAAGCATCTTGGTTTGGCGGCAGTACGTCACAATAAAAAATAAAATTAACCTGCCCTTTGCCATACAAAGCATCAAGTCGGCGGCCAAGAAGAATAAAAATTAAAAAAAAAAATGACATCATGATGGCGATTGATTAGTATAATATATATATGTTATATGTTAAAATTTTTATAATTTGTATACTCTTTTCTTGAGGGTGACTCGAGTTAACAACATAGAGTCGTGTCGATGAATATATATAAACTTTACTCATATAAATTATTTATTAATGTTGGTAGATTTGAATTTAAATTATTTAATTTTAAAAGTAAAAATAGAATTGAAACCTGAATGTAACGATTGATGATGAGTGATTTGAAGAGATACATATTGTTTAATACCTCATATTGATTGATCACATAATATTTAATTATGAACAATTTATTATCATACCCCAGTTTGAGAAATTCTACGAGTGAAGATGGTTGGTTGCCACTAAAGTGGTCTATTAATTAAAGTCTCATACTTTTGTTACGGGGATTGTCTCTAAATTATAATATACAACTATCTGCTCAAAGGGAGTTGTTGTATATTGTAATTTGGAGATATCATGAAACATTGTGGTAGAGGTGCAATAGTCTAGAAGGTTTATCTGCCCAAATGGGATAAATTTTTTAAAATTTGAGCATTCTCATCGGTTAATTTTATGAAAAGAGAGGACTTATAGCATATTATATTCTCTGCCCAAAGGGGAGTTTATAGTGATGTATTTGGACTCTCTTAATAAAATATGTTTTATTATGCTCAAAGCATATTTTATTTATTTATTGCCCAATTTTACTAATTGTTTATATTCTCGTTGCCTTGTACAGTCTTTTTTGTTGTGAATAGTAATAATGTCAACATTAAAGTTTTGATTGGTTCTAATTATAAGAGATGGAAGCAAGATATTGAGTTTACCCTAAGAATTATTGATATAGACTTTGCCTTAAAAGAGAATGAATCTGCTAAACCTACTAATGAGAGTTCCACTGATGATAAAGAACTTTATGCAAAGTGGGAGAAATCTAATAGGCTGAGTATGATTGACATGAAAATGTCTATCTCTGAACACCTTATGAGTGAATTGCCTGAAACCAAAAATGTCAAGGAGTTCTTCACCGCTGTAAGAGAGAGATGCAAAATATCCAATAAGACTGAAACTAGGAGCCTAACGAATGAATTAGCGAGTATGAAATATGACAATGTAGGTGATGTTAGGGAATATATCCTTAGAATGGTCCATGTTCAAACCAAACTCAAAGCCTTCAAAATTGTTATTCCTGATGATTTTATTGTTCATCACACTCTTAATTCTTTGCCTCCTGAGTTAGTCAAATCAAAACTGCCTACAATACCTAAAATGAGTCCTTGACAATAAATGATCTTATCTCTAAGTGTGACTCTGAGGAAGAAAAACTTAAAAAAGAAAAGAGTGAAATTGCTTTGTTTGTTTCTCAACCTAAATCTAATTTCAAAGGTCGGTATTAAGGAAATAATAGAAAATCTAATAATAATGCTCCAAAGAATGGTCAAGATTTCAAAAGACATGGTACTGGTCAGAATGTGGGAGGTCCTAAGGCTGTCATTAAAGATGTCAAATGTTACTTTTGCAAGAAAAGAGGTCATAAGAAAAGTGAGTGCACTTGATTTAAGTCTTGGTTAGAAAAGAAGAATAAAGAAGAAGGTAATTTACTAGCCTTTGTTTGCTTTGAATCCAATTTTGTTAATGTCTCATTAAATTCTTGGTGGATTGATAGTGGGGCTTCAGTTCATGTTGCCATGACTTTGTAGGGATTCACAAGCAAACGGAGGCCAACTGAAGGGGAAGCCAAGCTTAAAGTAAGAGATAATAATGAAATCCATGTTGAGTTCATAGGAACAGTTAGGTTAAATTTACACACTGGTTTTTAACTTGTTTTAGAAAATACTTTTTATGTACCGTCATTTATGCGGAATTTGATTTCAGTTTCTTTGTTTGATAAAATTGGATATTGTTTTAATTTTAGTAATGGTAAAACTCAATTGTCTTTAAATTTTAAAATTGTTAGTCATTGTGCTTTATCAGATGGTCTATATAGTATATGTTTGACTGTCAATAATGAATATGATCTTTCAAATATTGTGAATGTTGTATCTAATAAACCTTTCATTAAAGAAAAATCTTTACAGTTGTGGCATAAATGTTTGGGTCACTTTCTAGAGAAAGAGTAGAAAGATTAATAAAGAATGATATTCTTCCTCCCCTTGATTTTGGAGACCTTGAAACTTGTGTTGATTGCATTAGGGGTAAATTGACTAAGACTAAAAAGAAAAGTGCAACTCGCAATCTAGATCTTTTAGAAATCATTCACACTGACATCAGTGGACCTTACTCATGTACATTGTGTAGTAATAAATATTTTATTACATTTATTGATGATTTCTCTCGTTATGGATATATTTATTTAATTAATAAAAAATCTGATGCTCTTGAAAAGTTTAAAATTTTCAAGACTGAGGTAGAGAAACAATTAGGGAAAGTCATCAAAATTGTTAGGTTTGACCGTGATGGTGAGTATTATGTCAAACATGACGTGTCTAGGCAGCATATGAGACCGTTTGCCAAATACTTGCAAGATTGTGGGATTGTTGCTCAATATACTATGCCTGGTAGTCCCGAGCAAAATGGTGTGGCTGAAAAGCGTAATCGCACCCTTAAAGACATGATGAGGAGTATGATGAGTAGGTGTAATTTACCTGATTATCTTTGGAGAGAAACTATTAAAACGGTTTCATACATTTTTAATAGAGTTTCTAGCAAATCTGTTCCAAAAACACCT